AGGGAAGAAATTCTAGAACACCATTAGAGCAAAAAATCTAAACATAGGAACATTGAAGAAAATAAAAAGAACAGTTTCACTGCATCACCCCTGCCCGTAGGTGGTACAGGTCAGTGACACTACAGACCCCCTCAGCCCACAGTAACTCCCACAGGGAAACGTAAAAGTATAATGAGTGAACACTCGGCTTCCCCAGCTGTGCAGGATGCTTCCTAAGAGTCCTCCCTCTTCTTCATTCCACCCAGAATACTGAAGGGATGCACATGAACGAGTAGCTGGGAGAATGTGGAGGAAGGAACAGAGGCAAGAGACTCACAGCAATCAGAGTATAAAACTCAACAAAGGGCCACATACCTTACTAGCTGCTTCACAGACTCCATCAAGGGCCTGCCCACAAGCTGCTTGGGATGCCTTACCTGTAGACTCCCCAGCTGGCCCATGGGCACCCCGAATACTCTATGTGCTTCACCCCTCTCACCACCCCATGGCTGGACCTCTCTAGGTGTACCCTGGACAGCAAGTGTAGGGCTTTACAGATGGTTTGCAAGTACACGCACTCAACACGCTTGACACCGCAGGATTGGGAGAAGGCACACAAATGAGTATTTCAGGGCACTGCCCCTAAGGAAAACAAATGGGAGACTCTCCGTGCTTGGCCTGGCTTTGCAGTATTAACAGAAGGTATACCATCTTAAGAATCCCCCCCATCCCAAGAGCGAACAAGAGGAGTGGAGTGGGTGCATCCATAGAAAAAGTACGAGATAGCCTCAGAATCCCTGAGCCTGGTTACCTGGTGAAGGTGTTTTCCTCCCAAAGCCAGTTATCAAAGACAGGAAGAAGTGACTTCTTCAAGTAAATACAAAGACAGTAATGTAAGACTTTAAGCAACATGAAAACTGAGGAAGCATGACACCATGAAAGGAACACAATAATTTTACAGTAACCAACCCCAAAGAAGTGGAGATCTAAATATTTCCTGACAAGGAATTCAAAATAATTGTTTTAAGGGAGCATAGCAAACTACAGCAGAACACAGACAACGCAACCAAAATTAGGAAAACAATACATTTAAAAAGGAGATGTTCAACAAGAGTGAAACTCTGTCCCAAAACAAAAACAAACACAAAACAAGAAAAATTAGCTGGGTTTGGTGGCATGTGCCTGTAATCCGGGAGACTGAGGCAGGAGAATTGCTTGTACCAGAGAAGTGGAGGTTGCAGTGAGCTAAGATCGCACCATTGGACTCCAGCGTGGGCAACAAGAGTGAAACTCAAAAATAAAATAAAATAAAAATAAAAAGATGTTTAAAACATTGTATATCTGTATGGGGTATTTGCCATAGAGCTTTCAGGACTGGCTGTTGCCCTGGGTGAGTCAGTGAGTGAATAGTGATGCATATGAAGGTCTAGGACATTACTGTACACGATGTAGACTTTACAAACACTGTACATGTAAGCTATACAAGTTCATTTGAAAAATAATTGTGCTATGATGTTACAATGGCTATGACATCACTAGGTGATATGAATTTTTTCATTTCATTATAATCTTAGGGGACTACCGTCTAATATGCGGTCCATCACTGACCAAAACATCATTATGTCGATATAATGTATATGCTGCCCTTTAAGGAAACACACAGGCTGAAACTGAAGATATGGAAAAAGATGTTTGACTCCCATGTCCATTGCAGCATTTTCCATAATAGCCAAGACATGGAAACAACCTCAGTGTCTACAAACAGATGAATGGATAATGAAAATGTAACTATAGGCCGGGCACGGTAGCTCAAGCCTGTAATCCCAGCACTTTGGGAGGCCGAGACGGGCGGATCACGAGGTCAGGAGATCGAGACCATCCTGGCTAACACGGTGAAACCCTGTCTCTACTAAAAAATACAAAAAACTAGCCGGGCGAGGTGGCGGGCGCCTGTAGTCCCAGCTACTCAGGAGGCTGAGGCAGGAGAATGGCGTAAACCCGGGAGGCGGAGCTTGCAGTGAGCTGAGATCCGGCCACTGCGCTCCAGCCTGGGCGACAGAGCCAGACTCTGTCTCAAAAAAAAAAAAAAAAAGAAAATGTAACTATATATTTAACTATATGTTATATATATATATAACTGTGTGTGTGTGAGAGAGAGAGAGATAAAGACAGAGAATGTTATTGAGAATTAGAATTTTATTGAACCTTTAAAAATTAGAATAGACCAGGTACAGTAGCTCATGCCTGTAATTCTAACACTTTGGGAGGCTGAGACAGGAGGATTGCTTGAGCCCAGGAGTTTGAGACCAACCTGGAAAACATAACAAGACCTCATCTCTACAAAAAAATACAAAAATTAGCCAGGCATGGTGGCACATGCCTGTGGTTCCAGCTACTCAGGAAACTGAGGCAGAAGGATTGATTGAGCCCAGGAGGTCAAGGCTGCAGTGAGCTGTGATTGCACCACTGCACTCCAGTCAGGGTCACAGAGTGAGATCCTGTCTTTAAAAACAAAGAAAAAGAAGGCCAGGTGCGGTGACTCATGCCTGTAATCTCAGTACTTTGGGAGGCCGAGGCGGGCAGATTGCTTGAGGTCGGGAGTTTGAGACCAGACAGGCCAGCATGGTGAAACCCTGTCTCTACTAAAAATACAAAAATTAGCTGGGCATGGTGGCACGCACCTGTAATCCCAGCTCCTCCGGAGGCTGAAGTAGGAGAATCGCTTGACCCTGGGAGGCAGAGGTTGCAGTGAGCCGAGATTGTGCCACTGCACTGCAGCCTGGGCGACAGAGCGAGATTCTGTCTCAAAAAAAAAAAAAAAAAAAAAAAATTCATGGCAAAATCCCTGAAGCACTTTCATGTTTATCAATTGTATTCTTTCATTTTACAACAAGGAAACTGAGGCTCAGATAAGGGAAGGATTCACAAAGAAAGTTGTCAAACCAGGCCTGGAATTCTGATCACCTGACACCTCAGCCTTGAACTTGATGTGCAAAAGGCATTGTTGGGAATAGGGTTACAGAGTTTACTATATCACACAGCTGAACTGGGGTCCTTAAAGGTTAGCAACACAATTTATTGATTGATTTATTGAATGAATAAATGAAACACAAACCAAGAAGTCACAGCTTTGTTAGCCTAGGAAAATCCACAGAAGCATTTATTCACCCTTCAGAAGAGAATTATTATTATTATTTTTTGAGACGGAGTGTTGCTCTGTTGCCCAGGCTGGAGTGCAGTGGCTCAATCTCAGCTCACTGCAACCTCTGCCTCCCAGGTTCAAGCGATTCTTCTGCCTCAGCCTCCTGAGTAGCTGGGACTACAGGTGCCTGCTACCACGCCTGACTAATTTTTGTATTTTTAGTAGAGGCGGGATTTCACTGTATTGGCCAGGCTGGTCTCAAACTCCTGACCTTGTGATCCGCCTGCCTCGGCCTCCCAAAGTGCTGGGATTTCAGGCGTGAGCCACTATATCTGGCCTAGCAGAGAATTTTAAATTGGCTTTTAGGAAGGTTTTTTAGCAGCTAAACTTTGGATGAGCCTAATAAGAAAGAGTTCAGGCCTTGGCCAGGTGCAGGGGCTCATCCCTGTAATCCCAGCCCTTTGGGAGGCAGAGGAGGGCGGATCACAAGGTTGAAAGATCGAGACCAGCTTGGCCAACATGGCGAAACCCTGTCTCTAATAAAAATACAAAAATTAGCCAGACGTGGTGGCAGGCGCCTGTAGAACCAGCTACTTGGGAGGCTGAGGCAGGAGAATCACTTGAACCTGGGAGTTGGAGGTTGCAGTGAGCCGAGATCAAGCCATTGTACTCCAGCCTGGCAAGAAGAGCAAAACTCCATCTCAAAAAAAAAAAAAAAGAAAAAAAGAAAAAAACAAAGAAATTAGTAAACACTGCAAATCAGGAATCTTCTGAGCCAGATGTTTTGTTTTTGTTTTGTTTGAGATGGAGTCTTGCTCTGTTGTCCAGGCTGGAGCACAGTGGCGTGATCTCAGCTCACTGCAACCTCCGCCTCACGGGTCCAAGCAATTCTCCTGCCTCAGCCTCCTGAGTAGCTGGGACTACAGGCACACGCCAAAACGCCTGGCTAATTTTTGTATTTTTAGTAGAGATGGGGTTTTACCATGTTGGCCAGGCTGGTCTCGAACTACCCGAGGAGGTGATCCGCCCTCCTCGGCCTCCCAAAGTGCTGGCGTGAGCCACCGTGCCCGGCCAGAGCCAGGTGTTTGTTAAACATTTATCAGACATATCAGGTTATCATCATTATTACTGAAATCGACAACAACTCATTCGCTCTGGGCAGACACAACACACATCCGTTTGCCTATTTTTACTAATGTGACTGCTCATTTGAGTCAGAAGCAGCCAATTCAACAAAATGGTTTGTTGGTTTCCCCACCCCATCCCCCATGTTCAGGGGCCGTGGGCCTCGCTGGGAGTCTCTGTCTCACAGTGTTGCAGGAGGGAACCCAACTCCGTCAAAATGCTCCACTGGCCACATTTCTCAATGTTGCCACTCACACGCCCTTAGAAACAGGAAGCCTGTCCCTTGCCTCCTCCAAGCAGAAGATGTCTCAGCAGTTCCAGGGTGCACAGGAGCTTTCAAGAGTCACCCTCATTGTGAGCTGGTGAGTTTGTCACACATGAGCTGGTTTCTTACCTGGATCTGTCTCTGCGTGGGAGTCGGCGTCCTGTCGCTCTTCTTGAGACTAAGGCTACCACCTCCAGGAATGCTCAGGGCAAACTTGTCTGTGGGGGCACCTCACCCACCCACACTGGCAGGTCTCCACCCTGGCCCCTGGCCCCCACCAGGACCCCCTCCCGCACGAGGGTCCTCTGGTGGGTCTTGCGGGAGCGACACAGGGCAGTGAGAAGATTCTGGCTTCCGGACAGCCGCGGGTCATCAGCTTCCCTGGAAAAGGGATGCTTGCCTACAGATGACGCCTGGGTCTCTCCCCCGTGGGTAGACTAGAAAGGGGAAGTGGTCAGGATGAGGCTCACTGTCTTGAGCAGTGGGTGAGGGCCTGTGAGTGAGGAATGCCTCTCGCCAGCTGTGCCTGAACCGCAGCACTCCGGCCACTGCTGTCTCCTTAGCCGCTCGGATACCTTCACAGTTCAGGTAAGCATCTCGGCTTTCCAAGGGACAGTTTCCTGCTCTCTTCCCAGTAGACATCTGTCAGCGCTGGCATCAGGGCATGTGTCCCTGGGAGCCACCGATGGGCACCGGGCCAGGGGATTGCAGCCTGGGGCCCTGGTACGACTGCTGGGTAGGGTTGGAGAAAAACTTGCATTGAAGAATCTGCTCTGCCGGTAACTGGCTGAGTGACCTGAGGCATCGCTTCGCCTCTCTGGGCCTTTTCCTCGTGTGTATGTCGGGGAGATGAAGAAGTCTACCTCTCGGGTTGAAATGAGATAATGACTGGGAATGAGAGGTGTAAACTGTAACGAGTTATTCCCACTCTCTGGATGCCGATAGTGTGTTTTGGGACTGATATGTGAGAAGACTGTCATGGTGCTGTGCTGGAGGTAGGGGTGGGAGCAAGGCACTGATTGTGTCAATTTATTTATTTTTATTTTATTTTATTTATCTATTTTTGAGACGGAGATTTGCTCTTGTTGCCCAGGCTGGAGGGCAGGGACGCGATCTCAGTTCACTGCAATCACCACCTCCCGGGTTCAAGCGATTCTCCTGCCTCAGCCTCCCGAATAGCTGGGATTACAGGCACGCCCCACCACACCTGGTTAATTTCTGTATTTTTAGTAGAGATGGGTTTTCACTGTGTTGGCCAGGCTGCTCTTGAACTCCTGACCTCAGGTGATCTGCCTGCTTCAGGCTCCCAAAGTGCTGAGATTACAGTGGTGCGAATTTAGGCTATGTCTTGGGGCTCTTGGATGAAAGACCTGGAACACCTCCAGTCTTGGTACCGCTGTCATTGCATCTCTGGCTTTAAGTAGCTCATTAGGCACCTTCCCTTCCAGAGGCCTCGAGATCAAAGTGTGTTGGGCTGGCGTGAGTTCTTGGTGGAGCCATCTGCTTTTGCCCTCTAGAAAATTATTTCGGGAAGAGACCTGGGTTCGGCTTCGCCATATCCACTCCCACTGCCCTGTGTATCCACTTGTCCCCGAGGTCTTGGCCGTGAAGCAATGCAGAGCAGAGGCTTCACTCTGCTTCAGTGGTAAATAATGACTGAGAGGCAGGCGGGGCGCGGTGGCTCACTCCTGTAATCCTAGCACTTTGGGAGGCCAAGGTGGGCAGATCACAAGGTCAAGAGATCGAGACCAGCCTGGCCAACATGGTGAAATCCCGTCTCTACTAAAAATACAAAAATTAGCTGGACGTGGTGGCGGGTGCCTATAGTTGCAGCTACTCGGGAGGCTGAGGCAGGAGAATCATTTGAGCCTGGGAGGTGTAGGTTGCAGTGAGCCAAGATTATGCCACTGCACTCCAGCCTGGTGACAGAGCAAGCAAGACTCCATCTCAAAAACAAAAACAAACAAACAAACAAAAAAACTACTGAGAGGCTTAAAGCAAGGAAAGGACAGGGTCACACTGGTATTTGGCAGCTAGTGGGGAGCCAGCTGGGGACTAGGGACCAGTGAAAATGGACTACATTTGGAGGCTGACGGGCTGAAGTGGGGTGGGGATGGGGCCATGGGAGAAAGAGGAATGAGGTGAGGTTTCCGGTCTTTCCCAGAAGTGAAAGGATAGAGAAAGGGAGAAGAGAGGCTGGACTCCGTTTAATGACCCTGCCCTGCACTTCCCCATGCACACTTGGGTTTTAAGTTGCCAGTGACTATCCACATGACCATTTCTGGTGCTGACATCAGTGAGAAAGACAACTGGAGCCAGACTCAGTGGCTCATGCCTGTAATCCCAGCACTTTGGGAGGCCGAGGCAGGTGGATCACTTGAGGTCAGGAGTTTGAGACCTGCCTGGCCAACATGGCAAAACCCCATCTCTACTAAAAATACACAAAAATGAGCCAGGTATGGTGGTGCATGTGTGTCTGTAATCCCAGCTACTCAGGAGGCTAACGCAGGAGAATGGCTTTAACCGGGAAGTAGGGGTTGCAGTGAGCCGATATTGCACCAATGGAGTCTAGCCTGGGCGACAGAGCAAGACTCCATCTCAAAAAAAAAAAAAAAGAAAAGAGAGCAGGACGAGTGAGAACAAGGCCTCACTGAGCATGAACGGCAACAGTCTGCGAATTAGAGGTGAACTGGGGCAAGAGCTGCTCAGGCCAACCAGCCTAAGTGTTCTCTACAGCCTCTCAGACCCTTGAGATCTAGGCTGAGATTAGTTTGAACCCTTATTCTAGGCCTGCGGAAGTCCAAAGCCCTCCCCAAGACTTCTGTGGACTCCCGAGGAGTCCACCTCTTTTTCCATGGTCAGCAATGGGCCTGCAGCCTCTGTGGGTTTAACTGTTTATACTGCACTGTTTCTATTCCACCCCTCTTAGTTCCCCACACCCCCAGAACAAATCTGCTCCCAAAAGCACTGGCAGATGCAGCAGACTTCACCAAAGACTAAGCGGGGGGCCACCAGAGGGGCTTGTAACGCACCAGTGCAAACAACTATGCATGGAACATAACAGGGCCCTGCTCTGAAAATGTCTTTGCACCCCATCCCTGAGGACTTTCTATCAGTTTCTTCTCTTGTTACCAAACGAGGCCCATTCTGCTCATCGCACAGTAAGCCAATCACTGACGTGACCAGTTTTTTGTTTTTGGTTTTTTTTTTTTTGAGACGGAGTCTTACTCTGTCACCCAGGCTGGAGTGCAGTCGTGCGATCTTGGCTCACTGCAACCTCCGCCTCCCAAGTTCACGCCATTCTCCTGCCTCAGCCTCCCAGGTAGCTGGGACTACAGGCGCCCACCACCACGCCCGGCTGATTTTTTTGTATTTTTTAGTAGAGACGGGGTTTCACCGTGTTAGCCAGGATGGTCTCGATCTCTTGACCTCGTGATCTGCCCACCTCAGCCTCCCAAAGTGCTGGGATTACAGGTGGGAGCCACCGTGCCGAGATGACCAGTTTTGCAGCAGAGAATGTGTTTATTCATGAGGCAACCAAGTGAGGAGATGGGAAAATAGGTCTCAAACTGACTTCCTCAAAGATGGGGTTTAGAGACGTTGATGGGACAAAGAAGCAGGTGGCCTAAGGTGTAGGGAAGGTGATTGGAGGCAAGGAAAAGTAGGGCATCAGCGATCTGTGCAAGCCTAGTCAAGCTTCGTGGTTCTTCATAGGATGCAGGTTCACAAAATGGTGGCATTAGCATGACTGAGGATGGAGTTTTTGGTGCTCTGACATCAAACGTCACCTACTGGACACTCTCACAGACCAAGTTGAAGGACTGATGGTCATAAGTGGCTTGAACTGGATAAGAGCTGACCGCACGTTCCTGAAAAACAACTTTTTTTTTTTTCTGGGGGACGGAGTTTCACTCTCGTCACTCAGGCTGGAGTGCAATGGAGCGATCTTGGAGGCTCACTGCGACCTCCACCTCCTGGGTTCAAATGATTCTCCTCCCTCAGCCTTCCGAGTGGCTGGGATTACAGGCGCCCACCACCATGCCTGGCTAATTTTTGTATTTTTAGTAGAGACGGGGTTTTACCATGTTGGCCAGGCTGGTCTTGAACTCCTGACCTCAGGTGATCAGCCCACCTTGGCCTCCCAAAGTGCTGGGATTACAGGCATGGGCCACCGCGCCCAGCCCCTGGAAAACAACTTAAACAACCATTACTATGATGACCTATACATCAGAGATGTTATCCAGCAGGAAGTTGGTGGAATTCCAGTTAAATATTGCTTAGCTACATGACTTTTAGCTATATAGGTTTTGTTTGTTTGTTTGTTTTTAAAGACAGGGTCTCACTCTGTAACCCAGGCTAGAGTACACTGATGGTGATCACAGCTCACTGCAGCCTCAACCTCCTAGAGTCAAGCCATCCTCCCACCTCAGCCTCCTAAGTATCTGGGACTACAGGCACATGCCGCCACATCTGGTTTTTTGTTTATTTGTTTGTTTTTAGTAGAGACAAGGTCTTGCCGTGTTGCCTAGGCTGGTCTTGAACTCCTGGGCTCAAGTGATCCTCCAGCCTCAGCCTCCCAAAGGGCTGGGATTACAGGTGTGAGCCACTGATCCCAGCAGCTATATAGGTTTTAAGATCAACTAGAAGCAAGTGACTAAAATCAAGTAAAGTAGGTTAAGTTCCGAAGGCCTAATCTAGCCGTTGGGTTCACTCCCACCTTTGTACCATCCTGCTGGCTCCCCTTCTTCTCACCCTTCCATCCCTTCTTCTCATCACCTTCCCTCCCAGAACTCCAAATTCTCCCCCTCTATAACCCAGAGGAATTTAACATTCCCCACTTCCTACCAGCAAACTTCATTCCTACCCCCGCCAGCTTTGCAGACCTGGAGATCCTCTGCAGGGAGAATAGGGAATTCTCCTCGTCGGGTAGCTGCCCTTCTTAGAAGACACTTGGCGATTGTAAATAGAACTTGGTTGGTTTGCCCTTAATAATGCCTCATGCTTGGTGATCTTCTGTGCACAGAGCTCTTTTGCATGCATCATCTCTTGGAAGCTTTTCAGAAGCCTGCAAGGAGATGTTAAGGGTCTTATTCCAAGTGCAACAGCTAAGTGGGAACAGGAAACGTATTCCCCCTGGCCAGGTGCAGTGGCTCATGCCTGCAATCCTGGTACTTTGGGAGGCTGGGGCTGAGGATCACTTGGGGCCCGGAGTTTGAGACCAGCCTACGCAACATTTTTTGTGCATCTACAACATTTTGTTGTCTTTACAAAAAGGAAAGGAAGGTAAAGGAGAGGAGAGGAGAGGAGGGGAGGGAAGGGGAAGGGAGGGAAGGGGAGGGGAGGGGAGGGGGAGGAGGGGAGGGGAGAGGAGAGGAGGGGAGAAGAGAGGAGGGGAGAAGAGAAAGGAGAGGAGAAAGGAGAGGAGAAAAAGGAGAAGAGAGAGGAGAGGAGAAAAAGGAGAGGAGAGGAGAAAGGAGAGGAGAAAGGAGAGAGGAGAGGAGTGGAGAGGAGAGAAAGGAGAGGAGAGGAGAGGAGAGAAGAAATGAGAGGAGAAAGGAGAGAGGAGAAGGAGGAGAAAGGAGAGGAGA